CGCAAGAAGATGACCAATAGACTAGCAAGTGTGGGACATTTTAAAAGATATATATATATATATATATATCATTTCTCTTTTATTTTTTATAATACACCTTAGACTAATCATTTAGGACAAATTAGTCCAACGGATGATAACCCAACTACCTTTGGTAGAGCTATAAAACATATCCTACGTATAGCCCCATGAATTATGCAATTGAATTAAATTTTGTCTAGGGTTCAGAGAAAAAATTTCTGTCCTCTGGTGCATCAGTCTGGAAGCGCGCAGCTTTTTGCTGTTTCGCTTTTTCTCACCCCATAAAGGAGCCCCTATCTCCGACTGCTCCTTCTATGCAAAATTCATAAGAATTCACTGCAGTAAGGTATTAGCAGCAATATGGCAGTTATCACCACCATCATCTCAGCACAACTGAATCTTACTGCCATTCGGTGGGGTGAGGTCAGCGCCTCTAAAGAAGTCAGAAAATATTTCGAATTTCCAGAAGGTGACCGTATCGTACACTTTGAGGTCCGCGACGAGCGTGGAAAGGGGTACAAGCTCAGAGCCAAGAAAAGAATGGGAGAAAAGTATCCTAAAGAAGTTATTACTGGCTTGGCAAAATACATCCAGGAAACTCACTTGGTGCAAGGCGATAAAATTACCATCTCTATGGTGGATAAACTGTTTGGTGGAGTACTCAGCCCCCCATCTTACTATATCCGCTATGAGAGGGCGGCCCAAGGCGGTGGAAACTTTGCTGGCGCTGAAGCAGGTGAGAACTGATGATGATTGGAAGCCCACTATTCATCTTCAGTATTGTGTGTCCACATGTTATTAGTTATGAATGCCTGGCTTTAATAGGTGTGTTTTAGCTGTTAGCTTCGACACCCTTTTGTTGTTCTTATCTTATATGTGTATTCCTGTTGCTTTTGTTTTTGAGGATTTATGTTTTCATTGTTTTTTATTCCCTAACGGCTGGTGAATGAATTACTTCTATTCCGTTGCAATGAGAGTAATGGCGATAATTCTAATTAAAAAAAGGGTTATTTTTTAGACGGTATACCTGTAGAACTCAAAGCCCTCAAACACCCATTTGATTTTTTGGGAGTTCTCCACAAAAACTAAGGAAGTAAAACCTAGATATTATCTAATTAAGAAGAATAAAGAAAAGCTAAAATTTGAACAGGCCAATGGGGATCAGGCCCTTTGGCCGTCATCTGACGACTTCGCAAAATCGGCCATCGGGTTGAACAAGTGGGTTGGGTTTCGGAATTGCACCAAACAAATTTGAGGGCTAGGATCTGGGAAAGGTGTCAAGTGGGAGAAGTGTGTGGCGGGAAACGGTGAGTGAGAAAGATGGGAGTTAAGGCGTTGGACCCAAAATTTCTCCCAACGGTAGAAATTTGATCTCCGCCGGCGGGCAAGTGTGGAGGCGCAAGGCCATGGGTTAGTTTAATTGATTGATGATAATTCAAAGATCAGAGAGAGAAAGAGGGGAGA